TGAGATCAGCGATTCGTCTGAGAATGCATTCCAGATTGAAGTTTTACAGTCATGACCCACGACTCATGGCCGTAGATATGCATCGGAATGAAGATCAATTTGAAAAAAAGAAAGCTCAGTCTTCAGACTCACCTCTGCTTTAGTCATAACAATTCCGGTTAGTTCACGCACAACGTCATCAGCCATTCCAGTTCGATCGTCGATCACTTCCTCTAATTTTCTATCATCGGTAAATACAACCCTGAGCAAAGTGTTTTACTGTTTCTCCTTTTATCTGAAGAGCGTAACGAGTGGCGCCAGATTATAATATACATGTACAAAACAAACAAGAGAGAACGCAGCCTTGGCGGAGACCACTACCAACGCTGACCCAAAGCTTCTTGCGCGGGATCAATTCACGGGCTTTCTCCAGATCCACAAAGCACTTGCAAAACGGATTTACGAACTCATATGATTTCTCAGCATTCTGGCGCAAGGCGAAGATCTGGCCAGATCATCTCATCGTCGGCCTAACCTGAAGCTACACTGCTCCTTTTGAATCTTAGATTCAGATATTCCGCCGCATCTTCTTTTTAACACCATTGCGTAGACTTTTCCCGGGAGGCTGAGTAATTCAATACTTGGATAATTGCAGCACTCTCTACTGTTTCTTTACCTGAGCAGAGGTATTAAAACCACCGTTCTCCAGTCGACTAGTGTCTTCCCGTAGCCACTGCACTTTGACAGACATATGTAACCCAAAACATAATTTGTTCGCCTGAAGCTGTAAGCAAAAATTCAAGCAGCCTTGAAATTTTTAAAGCTTTTCACAGGCTCTTTAACATTATCCACCAACAGACTAATAGCCGCTGCCTGCAGCTTTTCATGCGAGTCTTCCTGCGTTTGCTGCAGGCTAAGGAGCTCCTCTAATAACTTTCTCAATCGCCAAAGTGTTCCTTCATCTGTACTAAGGGGGCGTTCGAACTTATCCGGCAGGCCTGTTAGACTGCATTTATTTCTATCGCGAAGGCGGCAAATGATCTGCCAGAATATCATGTTTACCGTCTGGAAATTCGACTTCATCACCTCCCCGAATTTTGACCAGGAATAAGCTTTTGCCTTGGTCACAACTTTCGCTGCTACTCTCAGCGTTTCTTTGTACATGCACTCGAGCTGCAGGTTTTATGCCTTCAAACCACTTCTTGAATGGAGTCTTCTCCCTGACAGCTAGTTAAACTTCTGGTGTCTATCCAGATAATCGTTTCTAACCATAAGGGCGCAGGCAAACCCGTTTTAAACCGCAGCACTCAGCGAAAGCCCCGAGTAAGCCGTTCCATTCGGTTTTCACATCAGCAGTCATCAGAGGGACCGTCGTGCGATGCTGCTTGTAAGTTCTGCCATCGTATCCGTAGATGACGCTTTCATTTAATTCTTGGGTTGCATCTGTCACAATGTCTCCGAATGGTATTTTACGGTTTGCAGCGGAGGGTGCCAACAATAAAGCGATGATCGCTCTCGAGAACTCTGCTTCTCGTTAAGACGAACGTCAATACAGACGATGCGATTATTAAACCGATCAGAGACTTTGACACAAACTACCTTAAACGATGTGTACTAATGCACGTTTCGATGCTCGAAGAAGATGTTCATCAAATACAGTCGCTGTTTTCACAAAATCGCTATCACTGAGGTCGCTAGGGCCGTTCGTTCAGACCGCACCTTTCCACTTTCCACTCTTCGGTGTATGCTCCGACATGCGCATTGAAATCGTCCTGCAGATGACGGATTCCGTACTCGACACTTCATAGAAAGTACCTTCAGCATTCTCCAGAGTTGAATCATATTCTCCTTTCAACTGCTTTAGCCTGCTGTAATCTCAGTTGGATTATTGACCCTCTTCCGCTGAGAGTGTTCGGTTCAATGATTCTGCCAGCCAAGTTCGGTTATACCAGAATACCAAGACCGGCCTGAACGCGTGTCATGGAGTCTACACCTGAGTAAAACAGTTTCCATCATCTGAGGTTCAGAAATTCAAAACCCTGACGCTTCGCTGACGAGAGTTTAACAGGAACTACCTGCTCTTCCGCTCTGAGTGACGAAATGTTCCAATATCCAGTTCTAAGCTCCAACTCTCGGTATCGTTTCCAAGGAATCTTATCCGACGTGCTACAACGGCTTCGAGCTGTTTTCCTTCTCTGACCCGAACGGGTAGCTTTTTCACTATTGTCGATCCTCGGCAGCCGTCGCCGTCCTATGACGCCCCCCCTCCAGCTGCCGGAAGGTATGACGCAGGTTCTGATCTCCACCATTTCGCGGTCCGCCTCAGTTCCGCAAAAGTCTGCGGTGGTTTCAGTTTCAGTATCCCGGGCGACTACCGAGCGGGTTTAAAGTTCGATAACAGCAATATCATTTTGGGAGGGGCCAGATGGCTATGTCATGAGAGATGTCGCCACGACTGCTAAAGATTCTCATTTCTCATGCTGAGGATGATACAACGCAGTTCAGTGAAACAGAAAATGCTTAAATTCTTTGGCTACAAAAAGTTATGAGCATCAAGAAGAAAACACATGAATACTGGTACCATCGAGTTTAATGTGTAAATGCATTACCGTGTACCAAGTGAAGCTGAAAAAGTAGATTAACGGAACGGAGGCATATCAAAAAAGTTTAACGCAGAAATTTCACCGCAATGTTGAGATGCCTTAAAAATGGTAGGTATGCCCATTCTCGATAATGTAGCAGTAGCATTACACATAGCCTACCAACTGGGCACTGCGACTGGCAAAACGGCTATTCGGAGCAAACAAACTCAACGAAGGTCTTAAACAGCTCTTCCAACCAACAAGTTACGAAGAAGTCTGTGGTTCTTTTCTGATAGCAATCATAGGATACGATGCACCGGCATACGAGAACCACTAACGACACGATTTCATCCCAATCATGAACATCTAATCATCTGTAGCTAAAGGGTACCCTAAGATTTAAAAAAAATGCAAAAGCCGATCGATCTGTTGCAGGGCGTGGACAACGATAAAGGTGAGATATTGGTCGACAGGGTGAAGTATGGTGTGGTTTGCTGCTCTTTAACCGGTACGGTAAAAGTGAAGGCCTGTCGCGAATTCCAAAACGGTCAGAAAACGAGGCCTTAGCAGATGATTATAAAATCTTGACTGGTTAAAAATCACCCAGTGATTAGGAAGCGGCTACGACTATTCTGTTGAACGGCAATACAAATTTTCCCGTTGAAACAAATGGTGGCCTCTGGTTCACAAGCAAGCACCTGCTCGCAGTGTAGCGTTGTGACTGCTATTCCACTTTCTACGTCTCCTTTGCTCTAAGGAGACAGAGTAGACCAAGCAGAAGAAATATGAACTCAAACTACTGCAGGATTTGGCCCCATACTTGTCAATGCGGTGGTCTGAGGATATTCTTATATTTTTCTTGATGATTGGTCCAGTGGTCTGCCGTTGACTACGAGCGTATGATGATGATAATCGACCTTTCATGCAGAGTTAACTTGAGGTCAACGGTTGATGATATTTTTGTCCACGTTACTTTGAGCCATAAATTCGAAATCTGTCAAGGAAAGCAGGGTACAATATGTAATGTCAGCTTAATTGAATGGCACACAATAACCGTCATGAAAAATATATTAATCGCTGAAAAAACACATATATAAGTAAGCATGGAACACCGTGCCCGTACGTATGAACATTAATAATTTATTGCTTGCCTGATCCGACAACAGCGGGTCATGCGACAGCGTACACTACTCTGACGTGTACAAACTCTGAACAAACACGATATCGCGTTTGATGAGTGCTGCGCATTCTTCGAATTTTTCCTCTACACTCTGGGAACCGAGCATCCGAGCAGCCTTCCTGAGGTCGCAGCACATGTCATATACGCGTTGAATGCACCGCACGATAACGCCTTCCTGGCTTTCGGCGTACGTCAAGATTTCGTTTAACGACTAAAACATGACAGCTGAAATCAGACGATCGCCCGAACGGACACGGCACTGGCAATTACCTTTCCTCGAGCCCAGTCGTACAGCACTTTCATGAATGAAAAATTGAGCCAGTTTTCACGATCCGCCTCAAGGACGTTGGCGCGTTGCTCGACACTTGCGACCTCTCTCCAAACCATTTTGACCATCGTCATTAGCTAAAAAGTGACGCTGTTTCTGATGTGGTGAAAAGTCATACAAAGCAACTAGTCGACTCGGCCATCACCGCTTTACTTACATTATCGAAGAAACTGAACGACGGAGGCGAACTGTTTTCGCTCTTCTGCGCCGCCATGCAAGACAACAAGGCGGCACACTCCGCCGGCGTCAAATTGCTGAAGTGATTGCCCATCAGTAACTGGGTGAGCATCAAAGGCTGCTGATTTATCATTTTCGCCGCCTTACCCGACAGTTCGAGCATGCCACTATCATCTATGTACGACAGCGACTTCAAAACCTAAAACGGAGCGCTCACGAAAAAGAAAATAAATGCAAAAAACAGACTATGACAAATCACGATGTACTGTCAGTTGATGCATCGAAAGTACCAAGGAACCCAAGTCGCGAATCACCGATGATGGATTTATATAACACCTTGCGAATGCGGTCATAAATGCATATGATAAACGGAGAAGAAGCAAGTCCAAAACGTGGCAAAATGGTGCAAACTCGATCTACCCAGAACAGCCACGCACAGTAAGGTAAATGGAGAACGGAAATCAAAGATCCCCAAGTCATAAAAAAAATATTTCAAACTTTACAGCTGTAGAACATGCAGCGAAAGAACAACGGTATCAGAACAGTGTACTGAATACACAATATAATTACTTAAAGCGAAAGATGAGGAAAGCCCTCATCAGTCAATCTATTCAATGCCTGAACAAGGACGTTAGCACAAACCTTGAACCAGCCAATGAAACAGCTTCCATCACTGACATCGACTCTGTCGTGCAGTTCCTAGTTAACTCCACCTTATATAGCTTAGCTCATTTTGCCTTGTCTGTTGCACTACTTGAAGAAGGATCAAATATTATATCTAAAACAGGCTTAGGTTGTATGTTCTATACAAAATTCAACCCTACGCATTACATATATAAAACTGATGACACCTGCCTACGTAGCTTTGCGCACTCTTTGTAGTACCACTGAAAGCTAAATTTAAGCCTGGAGAGGGCGAGGGCCAACGGCCATAAGACACTGTTCTCTCTGGTTCCCTGATCTATACTCACGCTTGGATAACGCTTCGAATATACACAGATATCAAGCCCACGGTCAACACACATCCATCGCATTTTGTTGCTTCTATGCAGTTATTCAAAAAATGCCAATCTTTTCGCTGCAGATCGAAACAAATTTATTCCCGGGTAGTGAAACGCCAGACTGTGCATTTGTCAGACAGAGTTGTTGCGCACACGATCTACGAGTAACAGAAAGTGCAGGTAACATTTTCGAAGAATTTTAAATGGATGGTTATCGAAACAGCGTTTTTAGTCTTACTGCTACATTGTTTGCCCTGATGATGGCCAACTGTAGTTCGGTGAGGGGGAGCAGGCAACGCAATAAAACTTTTACATCCGCTACCATTTGGCTAGAAACGCTGAATCAACGTTAGTTTTATTGAAGACAAAATCAAAATAAGCTTCCGTAAGCACTTACTGTTACATTCATTGTATTTGCATAGCTCTGCATAAGCAGCAGAACTGAATCACAGATTGTTACATGTTATCGCAGATTCAAATGAAAAGTGTCAAGCTCATAAATCTGAGTAACGAACACGCCCAATGACCGCCGCTGAATCAAAAGAAAGTAGAATATCTATAAATACCTTGACTTTTTGCTCATAATTTGACGTCAGCGATAACTTTGCGTCAGGAAGACACACTCGTTCCATTTCGATGCATTTTTCGATCACTGTTCTTTCATAGTATTGATATAGCTAGAACAGAAAACTCAGCATGAAAATTTTTAAACATGGAACTGAACTACGCCTGAACGCACAGCATTAGCCCAAGAAACAACCCAAGCTAAATCGACATAAAGCATACTTGTACAATGACTACAGTACCATCATGTAGGTGGGCAAAAGATGAAGCGAGGGAGGTCGAATATTTTAGCCCCAACGTTTTAATTTCTGAATCTAAGGACTTTTTTTTAGAAAATGGGTTTAAGTGATATTCTCTACTAATCCGAACTCCGGTTAATGCGATGGAGATCGATAATGAATCGTGCAATAGATGAATGTCAAGAGATGAGCTCACTGAACCGTAACAGCTATAGGAAGTTGTGTTGCAATTGTCGTAAACCTTTCTACGAAAGGAAAGCCAATATTACGGTAAAAGCGGGGAAGGCAATGAAAGGGCATAGTCAACAGTTGTTTCCAAATAAAGTACGGTTAACGTGATTGCTGTGTATCTGATCATCGTCTTGGATCACCTGAAATTTCAGAACTTCAACCGTTTGCGTTTGGTGACACTGTTACATTCTAAACGTCTCTGTAAGGGATTGGTGACAGTGTCATCGAATGAACGATTCCTTGTCAAACACGAATAGGCTGTATTTTCTACGTTGCTCAGTACCGTAGCAAATCGGCTTCACGAGCGACACCATGTGGTGATTCGATTCTAAAATGCGCCCTTGGTTTCACACCCAGCTCAATTTCCGACGTTCGAGAACCGGTTCTGAAACCGTGGTCAAGACCAATGGTCAGGTACTACCAGGTTCTTGCTCAAACCACCTACCATATCGCATGTAATGCCGGTGTCTGAAATTGGTTGTGACAAAGTTTCCTCTAACCTAGTCGTAGTTCATGCATTAGCTAGCGTACTGCTGCTACAAAACGAGAATTCGCAATGGCCTATCGTTGCTGCATCCCTATTCATAACGAACCAAAAATTTCTAGTAGCATTGTTATCGCTTTACGTTGCTCAACTGGCAAGAAATATTCACATGTCTCTATCAGGAAAGGGTTTGCGGAGCCTGGCATATTAAACCGATATGACATTAAACTGGCATTAAACAACGGAAACGGGGCTGATTGGTGGAGAGATGTCAAATCAGTGATACCACAACATTTGACAAATCTGACACTTTTGCCATCGAATGTTCGGTCAACAGTGAACTGGATCAAGGAAATTGCGTTTATCACGGAGGACAGTAACTTTACTAATCCATGCAACGTTCTTCTTCAAGAGTCGTCGCTAAATGAAGGCGTCACTGTCGCTGTTGTTTGCTTCCCGGAATACAACTTGTTCAGAAGTGACACGAACTTTGAAATTAAAGGTCGAGGAGGCGGAGCGGCCAGCGACTTGTACTGGACTGTTGCGCAGTTATTCTAAACATCTCCTTCAAACCGTCCAGCGCCTGGCTATGACCTAATGAGACACATGTCGGGAAACTGGACTGTGCGTAGTTAAACAGTATTTTAGAATAGCAGCGAATTGCCTACGCGAGTGGCATCGGCTAATAACCTTGATTGATTAAGTAGTGTTGTGAGATAATATGCCACATGGCTGGCACAAAAAAGGCAGATTTGCAAAAAAAGAGCCTTTAGATACGGGTCGTAGCTGAATGACCACTCAAAGAAACGATCGATACTACAAGGTGCTGCTATTATGTTCATGGCATGCAATAGAGAACTTGACACTTCGACGTCCCTGCGACCCGATAGCTAAAAAGGGACGACGAGAAAAACCAAAGTTTCTGTTGCCCATGATCACTTACTTTCGTCTGTAGTTGCAGAACGAGGCACGTCCGGTCTGTGGAATCTACTATATTCACCATTTTCCGACAGTGGTTACAATTTCGTTCCACTACGAACGCAAATCTGATTTTATGTGGTTCTTCGATGTTAAACGTTTGTCTTCCGGTCAACTGCTGTTACAGTTCTGTTTCAAGACGATTAAACCGCCGGCAGGGAAAAATGACGGCTGTTCTACTATTTGTAAAACAGATTGAGTTTCCCAGTTCTTGGTCTCCATTTCCTCTTCACGTTCAATACGTTTCCGGGAACAAATTGTAGAATCACACCATCTTATAATGCCTTGCCGTGTCATGCACATCATATGCGGAAGACAACGTTACTATCTACCCCTTAACCGCTCTTCTGGTCTGTTTTAAGATAATGGATTCGACTAATGACATATGATGGCTCATGCTGTTGGGCGCAGAACGAAATTGACTGGAATACTGGATAAATCAAATTGTCAATTCAAAGACCCATCACATAACCCAGACTTGAAACTGACAATCACAAAATGGCAAAAACAGAACGCCACAAATCAATCATACGTGTTCCAGCAAGGAAGGACAGTGGACACAGTGCATAGAGGCCAACTTCGCACGGAGTTGAGAGGTCTCTGTTAAGGCGGTCAATTCTTCACTGTCGGCAGACAAGTCCGGAAGCATGACGACCGATTTGTTGAATCCCTTCACGAAATCCTCGAGCAACTTTACCGCATTCCGAACAGATGGATCTGGCGAACGATTTCTAAAACAACTAATATAATGTACATGAATCGATTAATCTGCCATAAAAGTGAAAAAAAAGAAGTGCTGCTGTTCAAGCTGTTAGTTCTAAGTGTCAAAGGTATCGGGTTCGATCTCAGAAGTGAAGCGAATATATTTTTATCAATATCAGCAGCAGCGTGTTTCAAATGACCGCTTTTCGTTTAATCCTATGACCTGTATCTTCTGCATTGATAAGGGGCTCTGAAAACAATATTTTCGCCTTGCCTCGGCG